AAAGAAAATGATTTCCGAAGCTACATTTATAAGGCGAGAAGGTCAAAGTTTTATCCTCAAGTACCCCCACACCTAGTGAATCGGTTGCGAGATTAACTTTATTCTTCTAATTTTAAGGCCAAAAAATTAGTTGATTTAAACTAAATACATAACATACATTTTAAATAATTAAAGTAGAATAAAAAAACCTAAGCATAGCATGATAAATAAGAAAATAATAAAAACAAGATGATTAATTGCAAAGCTTCAATTGGAAAAGCCATGAAATAACACACTTACGGATACATTTGATAACAATCAAAAGTAATTAATAGAAAAATAAAAAAAAGGAAAAATAAAAATAAAAATGCAATAACTAAATGCATCTATGCCCTATATGGGTTATATCACTTCTATAAAAGAAAATTAAAATTCATTAAACTAATTAAAATGACAAACTAATTAAACTAGTAGCTTACTAGTTAACTGCTAAGGACCTAATTTAAAACATGAAGCAAAAGTTTTGGGGTCAAATTATAAATTACAAAAAGGGGCATAAATTAAAAGTTGGAGAAACTAAGTGGACTAATGCTGCAATATCTAAAACTGAGTCATCTTCTCCACACGAAACAGCTTCATGCTGCCACACAGGTTACTTCTTCAATAACGAAGTTGCCAGAAGCTGAAAATCGTTAACTCCAATGTGATGAAGTTAGCAATTAGCGGTGCAAGGAGGAGAGAAGACGTGAAGGAAGGATAAGAGAAGGCGTGGTATTGGCAGAATAATAGTAAGGGGAGGTGTGGTTTGATGAAGTCAGCAGTTAGCAGTGCAAGGAGGAGAGAAAGCGTGAAGATAGGAAAAGGGAAGGCGTGGTGACAGTAAGAGAAGGCGTGGCCAAGAAACCACGTCTTTGCTGGGTTCATGCTGTTCTTGCTGAAGATAGGGACCAGACTAGCTAGAAGATTCTTTCATACACGTGTTAATCACTCATTCGCTATTTGAAGAAGTTAGTTAGAGTAGCAGTCTATAAAATGATAGGATCATGTAATTGTTAGCAAGCTTTTTGTTAAGATTTTACTATTGTAATCAGAGAGGGAATATCCTCTCTATTTATCTTCTTCTTCAAGTTTCCTACGTTCTATTTCCTCTTCTCCTCTTTTCCTGTCAAATCCTTTTCTATAACCATAACTATGAAATTCATCAATGAAATGGAGATGTTTGTTTGAATTCAATCAAATTTGAGTGTTGTTAAATCTTTGCTTAAGTTCATTTTCCATTCTTGCAACATTCCTGGTTCTGTACCACAACAGTGGTATCAGAGCTGGTCTTACGAGCCATAGGGATAACAAAAAATCAGACGAAATGCTGAGAAGAGATGTGGTAGAGCTGGGTAGTGTGGTCAGAACCTTCACTAACATGAACGAGGGAATAGAACAGGCCATTAGAATAATGGAGTTCAGGCAGGATGCTACTGAGAAGCTGCTGAAGGGACTGGATCAGAAGTATGAAGGAATGATGAATATGATGGCTCAACTAATGTCTAAGATTAGTGACAGAGGGAAGGAGCTAGAAGGAAGCAGCAGTTCAAGGGAAGTGGCTCAACCTAATGGATCTAAGCTGAAGCCCCAGAGGGAAGTAGCTGGAAGAAAGGAGTCCAAGATCATTAACAAGCTGCCTCAAATGGATCTGCCAATCTTCGATGGAGATAACCCAAGGGAGTGGACCAGGAAGGCTAACAAGTACTTGAAAATACATGGAATAGAGGATGATATGAAGGCTGAAGTTGCTAAACTTTATTTCAGGGATAGAGCAGGCATCTGGTTTCATGGAGTCTTTCATGGTAGAGAAATCATACCTTGGGCAGAACTGTCCACTGCTTTGTGCATCAGATTTAGAGAAGGGAACCTAAGGAAGCTATTAAGGAGTTCAACAAGCTAGTCCAGGTTGGATCAGTAGCTAAATACCTGGAAAAGTTTGAGATGCTCAAGGCCCTGGTAATGCCTTCGCTACCTCATTTATCTGATTCCTACTATAAAACATGCTTCATGAGTGGTTTAAAAGAGGAAATAGTCAATATGGTAAAAATGTTCAAACCTGAAACCTTGGCTGATGCCATCGAGGCGGCCAAACTGCAAGAAAAGAATTTAAAAGCTATCCAGAAGATGCAAAAGACTACTTCTATTAATTTTAGTAGTCAGAAGAGTCATCTGAAGGCATCACCCTACCCAGATGGAACCAGGACAATCCCAAACACACCAATCGACCCCCCCAATCAGAATGTAGCCAATCAGAGTCAATTTAAGAAAATCACCCCTGCAGAATTTAACCTAAGGAGAGAGAAGGAACTGTGTTATAAATGTGCTGAACCTTATACATTAGGTCATGTCTACAAACAATCTCATGTTTATTACCTATTGGCTGAGGATGCTGAGATTTTAGATGGAAGCAAAGAGCAGGAAGAGGAGGTTGCATTAATGGTGATCTGACAGATGAACACATAGAGGTATCTGTCCATGCATTGGCTGGGGGGGCAGGACACAAAACCATAAAATTGAGGGGACTGGTAAAGGGAAGACAGATCACTGCACTGATAGACAATGGCAGTACCCACTGTTTCCTAGATGAACAACTGGCAAGAGAGCTGAAACTTGGTGCACATGGGCCTACCTTGGTAGTTAATGTGGCCAATGGAGGGAAGATGGACTCCAAGGGATTGGATAAACCTCTGCAGTAGGAAATGCAAGGCCATACATTCCAACACCCCTTTAACACATTGAGATTGGGAGGCTGTGACATGATTCTTGGGGTAGACTGGCTAGCTAAGCACAGTCCTATAGAATTCAATTTCAAAGAACTCAGCATGAAGATCCACAAAGGGAATCAAGAGGTAATGTTGTGTGGGGAGAACATCAGCATTGGATTGAAGATGTTCATGGGAAATAGGATGGAGAAGTGGTTGAAGAAACAAGCATATGGGGTAGTACCACAGTTAGTAGCAGTGGGAGAAGTAGAAAATGCAGAATAGATACCCACTGAAATCAGCCAAGTACTAGAGCAGTACAGGGATGTTTTCGAAGAACCTAAGGGGATGCCCCCAACCAGAAGCCATGATCACCAGATTGCGCTGAAAGAAGAGGCCAAGCCTTTCCAAGTGAGGCCTTACAGATGTCCCTATGTGCAGAAATCTAAGATTGAAAGGTTGGTGAAGGAAATGCTGGAAATAGGCATCATATAGACTAGCAGCAGCCTATTTGCTTCACTAGTGTTGCTGGTCAAAAAGAAGGATGATGCATAGAGGTTCTGTGTGCACTACAGGCAGTTGAATGAGCTAACAGTGATGAATAAATTCCCTATGCCCCTGATTGAGGAACTAATAGATGAGCTACATAGGGCCAGGTATTTCACAAAAATTGATCTAAAGGCAGGACACTTCCAGATTAGGGTCAAGGTGGAGGACATCCCAAAAACAGCCTTCAGGACTCACCAAGAACTCTATGAGTTCAAGGTCATGCCCTTTGGTTTGACCAATGCACCAGCAACTTTCCAGAGCCTAATGAACTAGGTCTTTTAGGAACAGATGAGAAAATGTGTATTGGTGTTCTTTGATGACATACTGATTTACAGCCTCTCTCTAGAGATGCATGTTAAGTATGTGACTAAGGTACTAAGAATTCTGAGACAGCACCAGCTGTATGCTAAGATGAGCAAGTGCTCCTTTGCTCAGTTGCAGGTAGAGTATTTAGGGCATATAATATCAGCAGAAGGATTTCAAGCTGACCTAAAAAAGGTGGAAGCCAACCAATGTCAAATAGCTTAAGGGGTTCCTGGGACTGACTGGCTACTATAGAAGGTTTGTCAAGGGGTATGGAGCCATAGCCAGGCCTCTGACCAACCTGTTGAAGAAGGACAGATTCCAGTGGAGGGAGGACTCAGAGTAAGCTTTCCAGGAGTTAAAGGAAGCCATGTGAAATACCCCTGTATTAGCAATGCCTGACTTCACACAACCATTCATCATTGAGACAGATGCATGATATAATGGCATAGGAGCTGCACTGATGCAGAACAAGAGGCCTATTTCCTATCTCAGTCAGGCCTTGGGACAGAAGAACATGGGGCTATCTATATATGAGAAGGAGCTACTAGCATTGGTGACTGCTGTGACAAAATGGAGACACTACTTGGAGGGACATCACTTCGTCATACACACTGACCACCAGAGTTTAAAATACTTGCTAGAGCAAAGGATCACTACCCCTCTCCAACAGAAGTGGCTTACTAAGTTGTTGGGACTGAGCTATGAAATTCACTACAAGAAGGGGAAAGACAATATGGCAGCTGATGCACTCTCCAAACAGGGCAGGGAGGAAACAGGTGAGTGCACAGCCATTTCATGTGCAGTGCCTGCCTGGATCAGGGAAGTAATTGAGAGTTATAAGGAGGATGAGTGGGTTCAGGAAACCTTATCCTAAGTGCTGCTAACCCTTACTCAAGCACCAGACTACTCCTACCAATTCTCAGGTACAAGAAAAGGTTAGTAGTGGGAGGACAAGGTGACATTAGGAAGAAGCTTATCACTGCTCTGCATGACTCCCAAATAGGAGGACGGTCAGGCATTCAGGCCAACTTCATGAGAGCTAAGCAACTATTCTATTGGCCAGGAATGTACAAGGAAATCAAGAAACTGGTCCTGGAGTGTGACACATGTAAAAAGTGCAAGGATGAGCATGTGGCCTACCTAGGACTGCTACAACCCCTTCCTATCCCTCAGTATTCATGGAGCCATGTTACCATGGATTTCATTGAAGGGTTGCCACAATCAGAAGGGAAGGATACCATAATGGTAATTGTGGATAGATTTACCAAGTATACTCATTTCATCAGTGTGGCACATCCCTTTGATGCACCAAAGGTAGCTAGACTTTTCATTGATCATGTCAGTAAGTCGCATGGGGTTCCTCAGAGCATGCTGTCAGATAGGGATAGAATATTTGTCAGCCAGTTCTAGGGGGAATTGTTCACTATGTTGGGAGCTAAACTAGACTACAACATAGCTTACCATCCTCAGACTGATGGACAGACTGAGAGAGTGAACCAAGTGCTGGAGATGTACCCCAGGTGTCTAACTTATTTAGAGCCTAGGAGATGGAACCAGTGGTTGTCTTTGCAGAGTGGTGGTACAATACCACACATCACACAGCCATTTAGATAACCCCATTTGAGGCATTGTATGGCATTTCCCCCCCCCCCTCAACTAGCTCTGGGACCTTACCTACAGACCAGGTGGCTGCAGTAGGAGACTACATCAGGGAAAGGCAACAGATGGACAACATGTTGAAACTAAACTTGAAACTAGCTCAAGAGAGGATGAAGAAGTATGCAGATGAAAAGAGGAGTGAGAGGGTGTTTAGTGAAGGAGATTGGGTGTATCTAAGGCTACAACCGTATAGACAAAGTTCATTAGCCTTGAGGGGGAATACCAAACTCTCAGCTAAGTACTTCGGCCCATACAAGATAGAGGAAAAGATTGGTAATGTAGCTTTCAGACTAAAACTGCCTACCACTTCAAAGGTCCACCCTATTTTTCATGTCTCTCTGCTCAAGAGGAAGGTGGGAGACAAGGTCACGCCTACACTCCAGCTGCCAAAAACGAATGAAAAGGGTCACTGGAAGGTTGAACCAGTAGTAGTACTTGATAGGAGGATAGTGAAGAGAAGAAATGCTGCTGCAATTCAATGGTTGATCCACTGGTGGGGCGCGGATCCTGCAGAAGCCACATGGGAGGATGTTGAAAAGATTGAAGGGCAGTTTCCCATGTTTCAATCTTGAGGACAAGATTTGCTGCCAAGGGGGGAGTGCTGTAATGAAGTTAGCAGTTAGCAATGCAAGGAGGAGAGAAGACGTGAAGGAAGGATAAGGGAAGGCATGGTATTGGCAGAATAACAGTAAGGGGAGGCATGGGTTAATGAAGTCAGCAGTTAGCAGTGCAAGGAGGAGAGAAGGCGTGAAGGAAGGAAAAGGGAAGGCGTGGTGACAGTAAGGGAAGGCGTGGCCAAGAAACCACGCCTTTGCTGGGTTCATGCTGTTCTTGCTGAAGATGGGGACCAGACTAGCTAGAAGATTCTTTCATACACGTGTTAATCACTCATTCGCTATTTGAAGAAGTTAGTTAGAGTAGCAGTCTATAAAATGATAGGATCATGTAATTGTTAGCAAGCTTTTTGTTAAGATTTTGCCATTGTAATCAGAGAGGGAATATCCTCTCTATTTGTCTTCTTCTTCAAGTTTCCTACGTTCTATTTCCCTTCTCCTCTTTTCCTGCCAAATCCTTTTCTGTAACCATAACTATGAAATTCATCAATGAAATGGAGATGTTTGTTTGAATTCAATCAAATTTGAGTGTTGTTAAATCTTTGCTTAAGTTCATTTTCCATTCCTGCAATATTTCTGGTTCTGTACCACAACATCCAGCCAGTGTTGGATTGGGCTGAATTTTTCCTCTCTCTCTTACACACAAACACACGACACATGCACTGACATCGTTACAAAAAATGCAGCAAAACAAGAAAGGAAAAAAGAACCAAAATTCGGTAAAAAGTAATCAAAATTTTCCGGTGAACTAATGGGTACCGAATGACTCGATTGAATTGCCCATTGCTCTTCATCTCAGAGACGAGTCAGTTTAAGTAGACTGAGTATGTCTGAGTTCTCGGCGATTCTTTCATCTCAGATGTGACGCGGAACCATCACGAACGGAATCTTCCGTTCAGGTAACGACTCGACCGAGGCTTTGCACCATTTGAGAAGTGAGCGAAAACAAACTGGAGCAATGGTGAGCCAGGCCATGATGATCTGATTGATGTCCTACTGAGAATTAAAGAAATTGGTGACCTTCAATGTCTATTAACCAAAAACCATATCAAAGCTATTATATTTGTAACTCCTAGTTTAATGAATCTTTTTCCTTCTTTGCCTACTTGTGTATTTTTCAACCAAGCAATTTGGACATTGGTGCAGGATATCTTTACTGGTGGAACTGAAACTTCATCGACAACAATGGAACAGCGTTGTCCTAGATGATAAATAATCCATATATGCAGGCCAAGGCACAATCTGAAATACGGGCTGCCTGAGGGAAAGAAAACAACCGAAGAGAGTGACATTCAAGAATTGAAGTAGCTAAAATTAGTAGTCAACGAAACTCTAATGTTACATCCTCCAGTCCCTCTATTGGTTCCCCGAGAATGCAGGGAGCAATGTAAAATTGATGGATATATCATCCCAGTCAAGGCAAGAATCCTGATCAATTTTTGGGCAGTTGGAAGCGATCCCAAACATCGGGACAATCAAGAGAATTTCGTACCAGAGAGATTTGAAAACAATTCTCTGGATTTCACAGGAAATCACTTCGAACTTTTATCATTTGGTGCAGGAAGAAGAATTTGTCCCGGGATTTCCTTTGGTTTGGCTAATATTGAACTTCCCTTAGCTCTACTGCTCCACCATTTCAACTGGAAACTCCCTCATGGCTTCAACTCCTTAGGCATGACAGCAGCAAGGAAAAATACCTTGTCTTGGTTGCCCCCTCTTATGATCCAGCCCATAGATGTCATGAAAAATCTTCAAGTTATATGACTCATATCTGTAATTTTGGCAGCTCCATAGTTTACACATCGATTTACTCTTCTAATGGCTTCTAGATCTTGTCTTCTCATGTACCATGTCCTGCATCTACCTTACGTTAAGGAAAAAACAATCCGTTTCCATGTAATCTTTTCCAAGAGAAAAAGAAAATCGCCATCATGTTCCTGAGCTTAATTGTGTGCTTAAACCCCAAAAAAAAAAAAGCTTTCGGACTGATATTGGCGGAGGAAAAAATATAGTTAAAAAATTATGACAATTTAAAGAGAAAGTAAAATCCATTTGACCTAATTAATTATGTCAATTGACTAAGATTTAGTAAGGTGGAGTAGAAGATGGAACACCACTTACTAATTTTATTTGCAGGGTACCCAAGGAGAAAACAAAGTACTCCTCCATTATTTATTTTTGGAAAGTAAATAATATTTTGGACCTCATTACAAAAGGTATTATATGGCTTAAGAATCTAACTGGCCAAAATTTAACAATCCTCTATTTATAATTTCACAGTTTGGTATGGCTTTTAAAATCCATAGGAGCAAGTGAAAAATTGTAGTACTTTAAATAATGATAGGAATAATTGGTAGGTGGATATAGCAAGTGAAATAATCATAAAAAACAAATAAAGAAAAAACAGTCTTCCACACACAAGCACTGGTCCCATGCGTGTTAGTTGGTTTTCTTAATAACCCAATATTTTCAAACAATTTTAGACATATACAAACTTCAAAATATCGACATAAGTCTAGAGCAGTTGAAACTTTGCCGATTTCTCGCATTACTATCATTAGCTATTAAATCGAGCAGCAGAAGTAGTTGAAGTTCATTATAGCCCATTATTGGAATATACAAGAAAAGGTTCATGCGTGCGAAGAAAAATAGCCCCTTCCCATTATTATTGGATTTGTCCGATGAAGGGAATTTGCCGTCTCTCTTCCTTGAGGCTGCCAGGTGATTGGACCTTTAGCAAAGGGCACGAGCTTGAAATTTGAGATCTTGATCTCGTAATATAATCTAGCTTAACTTAGAGTTAGTTAATGTCCATGTTTTAGTGGCTCCAGTCATTAAAAATTTAGATATGACAGTTCTAAATCTTGCTCGAGTTACTTGAAAGGATAAAGTGAAAAGTAGAATCGCAGTTTTGGACTGTAATATTAGGTTTGTATGCCAAACAAGTCTCTAGTACATTGAGTAAAACAAATTTGGTTCTCATAGTTTCTAATTTGAGGCACATTAAGAATAAGTATTTGCAAAATCTCAATAATTGTGGTCAAAATCAAATTGGCATTTGTCAAAAGTTTTGATATTGTATTTGGGTTCCTAATGTTAGGAATAGCGATCAATATGGTCCATTGGTTTTAGATAATTATATTTAGGGTTTCGAGAAAAAAATAAAATGTGAATTGAAATTAAATATATGACAGGCGCATTTTAAATTCATCATAAGAATTCCTAAAATCAATTCATAGTGGTACAACACTTAAGGTACTATAATAATTCAAACTACAAATATTAGGGACTGAAAATACAAAATCAATAATATTGACTAACAGTAATTTGATTTGAATTGTTAGACAATGTTAAATTTCCATTGATAGTTCTAAATTTGCATAAGCTTATAAAATTTTGGAACCATAGCTTTAGTTAAAACATTAGAGACAAGTTTGACACAGAGAGACCAAAAGAAAAAAAAAAAAGATAGAGAGATTGGAATTTGAAATAAGAATTCCTAAAATCAATTCATATTGGTACAACACTTAAGGTACTATAATAATTCAAACTACAAATATTAGGGACTGAAAATACAAAATCAATAATATTGACTAACAGTAATTTGATTTGAATTGTTAGACAATGTTAAATTTCCATTGATAGTTCTAATCTTCTTTCTTTCATCCTTCCCAATAAAAAATTCTATCTAAACAGAAATTTTTATTTTGAGTTTGTAATTGCATTTCTGGATGGATGAAGGTTTAAAAGGCATCAAAAACTAATTTTGATTTTTTGTATGATGCCACATGTCACAAATTTCAATTGATGATTATTAATTAGGTCACAATTTCATCTTATGATATTTTCTTGAGAATAAAATGAGAAACTAGAAAAGAAAGGGGAAAAACCAAACTTAAAAGAATTGAAAGGCTAAAAAAATTGACCATCAAATATAGCCCTTTGAAAGTAACATAACTCCAGCAATGCCTATCCCCATTTCTCCAAGAAATAAAGTTTACAAAAAAAAAAAAAAAAGCAGAAGAAAAATGCTTCTTTTCTCTAATTCTTTAGAACCCAGGAGACCAAAAAACGAAGAAACCAAATGTAGATACCTAAAAAAATCTTAGTTAATCTCTTGTCACGACTAAACAGCTACAAAACATGCAATTTAACATTACCAAAAGCCATCATTACGAACATGTTATCTTCTAATTACCATAAAGAGAGAGAGAAAATTAGGAGAAAGAATTTCTAGCCAAATAACACAAAGTGAGCAACGCAGGATGTTTTTCTTTTATTTTTTGGGTTGTGAAGCAGGAAAAAGAAAGGCCCCGAATAGATTTTCCCAACTAACCAGTCTTTTTATACTGAAGTAAAAATGTATCATTATTTTAAAAAAAAACAACCATCAAATATCATATTTACTTCTCTATTAAGACGTATATGCTTGCAAGACCTCCCAAATATTTAGATATTTCATTCTAAACATCGTATAGTTTCTACGCTTGACCACAAAAATTCCCAAAAGTTTAAGGCACATTGATAAAAGCTTATTTTGGGTCACTATATAAATTGAACCAAAGCATCAAGCAATTTCTCTAGCATGATCAAATTAGTATAAAGCAAAAGGAAAAAGGCTAAAGCTTTGTCATAAGTAAAACATCATATGATGAATGAGCTATAATTGTAAACCAAAGCAGCACACCCGAGAATTTTTGGTATAGCTCTCTAGAGATTATTTCAAAGGTGAAAACAACCAACAAGAAAATCAGAAATTTAAATGATCCGAAGATTATTATACAAATGAAAAACAAAGGAATCAGTGATCAAATCTTTAATTAAATCAAGTAGTAATTATAATAATTTAAAATAAGGCTCAGGTCTATTAGCAAAAGTTAGGCAAAGATGAGAGTACCACCATGGCTACAGGCCCAATTGCATTTGAAGGGGAGAATGAATGTTAAATGCCATCAGGG